CATGTAGAATTTATTTTTAGTTGATTTAGTTAATTCCAAATGTGTTTAAGAAATGTTTAAGCACATGATTGTTTCACCTAATTCATGAAGCCTTATGTTAGGACGATATTGGCATTTTCTAGAATTTTGTCGTTAATAAAGAGACTGATATAAGAAAAAAAGGAAAATAAAAGTAGAACTAAATTACATCAACTTGAGTTTCTCCAGAAATAAAAATGATTTTCTAGAATATTTCAAAGCAATTTTTAAATGTATCTGCTTCTCTTCTTTTACTCTTGCCTTGCACAAGGGAACAGCATATCTCTTTGGACTAAGTAAATGGAGAGAATAAGGAATATTACCAAACTGATTTCTTATTACTGATTTTGAACTGAAAAAAGCTGCTTTGAAGTCTGCTGTGATGAAAATATGAGGATATCGTTGAAGAGTATTCCCCATAAAATGTATGAAATGTTTCTTGTTACTCAAAAACAATGAGGAAGTCTTTTTACTTAAGCTCATCATATTTTCTTCTGAAATACTTATTTGAGTATTTCTTGCTTAAATGGGGTACAAAATAGATCCCTTCTCTTGGTTGACTTACAAATTTCCTAATGTTACTTTAATTGTACTGTATGGTTAAGAAAGGGCCTCTATACTAAGCAAAGACCTTGATTTATTTTCTGTACTGTAGTCTCTAATATGCAAGCCCTTAATATTTTTGTAAATACTTGTCTGTGTTAGCCTCAAATTTGCCAACCCTCTTTTTTGTAAGTATCAGTATCTAATATCCTTTTCCAGAGCTGGTACAGACTAAACATAATATAATAACCTCAAGAGGCCATAGCTGAGCATCAGATATTTTCTTTGTACTCCTCAAGCTGTAATGTATTTAATGGAACAATACTTACTACTTAATTTTGGAAAAAACAGCTTTATTTTAGACTATTTTGTTCTGGTGCTTAAGAGGTTGCAAAGAAATGAATATGTCCCATGGTAACAGTTCATAAAACATAAGTGCAAGAGTTGAATAGTACCTGAATTCCATATTTGCACTACTAACCATAATAGTAGTACCATAGCATTATTCTTAGAAATGTGTATCAGAAGAACAAATGTTTTAGAATATGGTATGCTATCCTTTATGTAGGTAGTTAAATGAGGTTGGATAACTTTGTTATGCATGTCTCATAGATAGCACTAGTCAATTGTTAGCTTTCTAAGAGAGATCTGTTTTTTTTTTCTCTCTCTCTCATTCTTTAAAAAAAAAAAAAAAATTGTGAGAAAATCAGATGTAGGGTTGATGTTACGATAAAGCAGAAAGGCTGCTTTAGTGAACATAGATGATATGAATAAGTAGGGTATGTTTCTTCACTAGGAATGTTCAATATTGCTTTCTAAGTTCATCTACTGTGATATATAGGAGTCTGAAATTGTTGTTTCTGTAGTAATGGATACTGTATTTTTCTCTTATATAAATGAAGCAATTGAGTTCCAGAGTTGTTGTAGAGATTGTGATTGTGTATTTTGGATGGATTTTACACTGTTATTTAGGGTTGTATTTCTCTTGAAATCTTGATGGTTCATATTAGTTGTAATTTTCATGACTTGATACCAGCTTAAATTTTGGTCTTTATTGTCACAAAGAATCATTTGAATACATTTAATATTTTCTTAACTCCTTGGATTTGGATGCTTCACTGTTCTCACGTGGCCCAAAGTGCGGGAATTAGGCTTACTTGAGCGGCCACTCTGACAGGTGTACGGTTTGTAGGCCTGATGCATATGAACACTCGTATGCAATGACAAGACTCCATGCCTCCCCTTTTGCAATGTTATTTTCTCTTTTTGTGCATAAGCATTTTTAGCTTTTTTGTCATTTTCCAATGTCTACATTTGTCATTTGATTTGTTTTATCCAAACTTTACTTTGCACAGATGCCATATCTATGTAGGTAGTATATAACTCAGTGTAATGACAACAACATTAAGTATCATTTTTGTAATTTTCAAATATTTTTGTAATATTCAATTTTCTGTAATAAAATTTGTGTTGCCGGTCGTGGTGGGCAGGGATAGAATCCTGAGCATGAAAATAGCATTTTTCCAGTCATGGGTCATGGATAGTACATTTACACTTGTTTATTGATGGAAATAATGCAAGAGCCCCTTCCTAAATGCTCTCTGAATCTGATCACTTTCTAAGTGTTTTGTGCACACGAGGCGAGTCATTCCTGTCATCCTGACCTTCAGCCAAAATTCTCATGACAAGAAGATCCCATAACCCCAGCCCTCAGCCAAATTTTCCAATGGCAACATGTTCATATCACCAGCTCCTCAATTTATTTCAAAACATGGTCACGTCATGCAGATTGCAGGGGTTGGTTAGTTAGTTATTAAAAATCCTTTTAGATAGAATTGCACAAGCTCATTATATTGCAGCTTTGTATGTCAGATCTAATGCTCATTCTGTCATCTTTTTAGAGAGGTACTGGATTAGGAACAGTTTAGTAGGGAACACA